GATCTTTCCTTCTGTTATCAAAATCAAGCTCGAATTGCTCTTCGGCTTCTCATGTCATTACTGGCAGAAACGGAGGGAAGATTCCGACATGACGGCATCATTAGATGAAGAGCTCGAGGTATGGAATATATTGGACATGGATGCCGATGGAGAGCCCGCTACAGAGACTTCGGAGACAATAGATGGCGCATGGGGGAACCAGCCAGATGCATTCACTAGTGCAGTACTTGGAATATGATACATAGTTGCTGCACTGACAAAGGGGAGCGGCGAGAGTAGATGAGAGGGTAGGTGGAAGAAAGTGGGTTGGTGATACAGTTGTAGGGATCGGAGCGCTGATTTGAGATTATTAACAGATAGCAGAGATGCTTGGGAAACTGTTGTGCAATGTTTGATGTCAAACGGATGAGTGGGGAGAGTTCGACAACTCAAAGCGCGGGGAGGACGAGCAGACGGGTGAATTAGGCGCTGAGACGAACGGGTGAAAACGTCGAAGTTGCTGGGTCGCCGACAGGCGCGTGAGCGTGCGAAAGTGTACCGTTCACCTTGTCGACATGTCGACGGGTTTACTATACCTGTAAACCTGGTCAACGGTTGCGTCGACCCGCACATCCCTGCTTCTGGAGGAAAATTATCCTGCCCCTAGTAGAAGATCGACCAACTCCAATGCTTCCAGATTGCCTTACACGTGTGCTGCTAGATATGGACATATAGCGGGAGTCTATGAACCACCCCATGACAATGACACAGTACTGTCAACGACGGCCTTCCGCTAGACCTCAATCCTGTTTGACGCCTCTCGACGCAGCAGTCGAAAGCCGATGATTGAAACGGATCTTGCGGTCTTGACGCGAAAATCTAGCGAAGGTTTGTCAAGTGCGTTACAGGTGACTCACAACATAAGAGCATTTGCAAAGTCATGGGCAGCAAGCGACGACGCTGGACGCCAACCGATCGTCCATGTACGTCTTTATGCCACGGGTCCCTCCTCAGCCCGCCCATAATTAGCACAGCATAATCCTGCGAATAAAGCTGTGAAACATGATGCTATGAGGATATCTACGTGTACGGTCTATGCAAATGTAGTATGGAATGCGTGTGCCGAATTATTAGTCTGATATTTGAGAAGAAGTCCCTGCGGCCCAGGAACGAGACGAGTTGTGGCGTGATAGGTCTAGTGGGAATGGGAGGTGGAAATCGTCGCCTTTGCCGTAAGGGCAGGGCGTTTGCGAAGCGTGAAGCGACATGAAATGCGTCAATCGTAATCGGAAGCAGAGAGAGAGACATGGTCGCCGTGTGGCCCCCGGGGTGCGTCCTGCGTGTTCAGTACACCGTGAATATTTTCGGTTCGCGCTTGAATCGCGCTGAGGGAAAGGGCGTCAGAACCGCCGAGAACACGTTCGCGAAGGATGGGGCATACCATATAGCAGCACAGTGGCCCCGATGATTTGGAGACTGCCCGAGTAGAGCGAGACCGCGAGCCAATTGCCCCCCGTCGCTGACAGGATCGCGCCTCCGATGGGGGCACCGGCGCTGTTGCCTACGCCGACCGTCAGTCGAAGGCGTCTGCATCAGTGCACGTAGGATTGCACATACCTGGGAGATTGAACATCAACAACAGCCCCGACAACCCAGCCAGCCTGCTCGAGCCGTACAGCTGCGAAGCGACTGCCGGACTGAGCGAGAGGAAGCAGCCACACACGAAGCCATACATGATGCCAAAGACCATCTGTAGTGATGACCGTTTGAGGGAGGAAGAATCATGTCATATGTCAGAGGCGTCGTATACCCCAGGAGAGAAAGACGAAGCGCATACGATGCCAGCATAAGTAGAGACGAAGGACCAAACGAGCATCTGGATGAGGCCAGAAAGCATGATGGCGCTCCAGAGCGCGTTGACCGGGCCGATGCGGTCGCCGAGCAAGCCTACGAGAGTGCGGCCGGTCGCAGCAGAGAAGTTGAGCATAGCTACTGGTAGGATGGAGAGCTTGCGAGTGGATGCGTCAACACGTCGCTCGTGCAGACCATGGAGGAGAGACTCACCAGAGGCGACAAATTGGGCAGCTTCTCCTGCGCGAAGGTAGGCAGGAAGAACACCGGGGACAGATAGCCGAAGACGGTGAAGAAGAAACAGCCGCCGAGACTCCAAAAGACGGGGTCTGTGAAGAAAGACTTGTCGAACCAGACGATCGGTTTCCTCTGCGAGGGCTTACGCCGCTCAGATATCATGAAGTATGCGGCAACGAAGAGAGCTCCGTCCATAGCGGTGTAAATTGCGAAAGACTTCTTCAGGCCCAAGGAATTGAGCATCACGCCGAATATCAAGGAGGACACTGCACCACCTACATCATTGCGGCTCAGCTAATGTAAGAATGGAAAGGAACAACCGGTCTCACCGATGGAGCTGCCAGCGACGACAATGCCTGTTGCGAGTGCGCGATGCCGCAAGAACCACTGGGCCGGAAGAGCCACCTAACGGCAAGTCAGATGCGCGAAGTCAGCCACGATGATGGTTTAGACCTACGATCAGCGGGAACACCAATGCGTTCGCGATACCCTGGACTGGACCCTAAGCATGAACGTGTCAACGGCAGGGTGACGTCGCAATCGCGTGACCAACTCACCATGATCACAAAGAAGTGCCACAGCTTCGTTGCAAAAATGCATGCGAGCATGCTTATGGTCCAAATAATGGCACCAGCAGCCAAGAACGGCTGTATGACATCCTACGCGTCAAGGCAGGGACAGGGGCCGTGGAGTGTACGCTTACCTTGTACCCGCTGTAAAGAAGCTATTGTCAGAGTCGCATCGACAAGCTAGGGGCGCGACAGACTCACTAGCGGTCTGCCAATTTTCCAGGGATCACACTGAGCAGCGTCATAAACTAGGGCGACGGTTAATGTGACATCCGAAAAAGGAATGTGAAGGAAATCACTCACCATACCAGACACGCTGCCAAGGGTGCTCAACACAGAGTCCGAAGCGTCCGGGAAGACATGATTCTTCAAGTACTCCTCCGTGACGCCCCAAACCTGGTGAGTGGTGAGTACGACAGATGCAAGAGAGAAGCAAGGATCGGGCAGTTTTGTCCGCTGCTCACAAGCCTTCCACCGCGAACGACGCATCACGGGCGGCGTTGGGGAGGTTGCGGTATCCACAGAAATGACGAATGTTCATGGAGTGCATAGAGGTGAAAAAAAGGAGCCATGGGAGGTTCAACGATCTCTGCTGTTCAGATCACTCAACACGAAAACATACCCCCATCCGACCGTGGCTGCAGAGAAGATGACACAGCCGAGCACGACGACCCACCCGCGACCACCGTCCGGCGGGACATCGAGCATCTCCGTCTCGACCACGACAGCATCGCCCTTCTCATAAATGGAGGGCGCGACGGACGTCGCAGCGGAGAGCGGGCCTGCATACTTGGAAGCCTTGTCCGCATGGGACAGCTCTGTCCCGACGTGCGTTCTCTCCGACCTGGGTGTGTCCATCACGACGATGAGAACCGAAGGGAAAGCAGCAGACGCAGCAAAGCAGGGGATGGTTCGAACAAACTCTCACAAGGGACGCAACCAAAGTGTCACCTCTTATAAAAGCCCCCGCAAGTCGTCAGGAATCCCCAACCCGCGGAAGTCCTTGTCCCTCCGCGCTGGAAGGGGAGATCAGCACGCGCGCAGGAGGATGACTCATGACTGGCTGTGGCAAGTCGTGTAGGGGCCTGGAACTTGATAGGCCAATACGTTGGGGGCGTGTCCGTGAGATGCCGCAGGAACGGAGACCGGGCTATGTTATTTTGACGTCAATGGGCCTCGGGGAAGGGTGTGGGCCAAAGGTGATTGGAACATACCTTTCGCTTGGCGACGCGGCCAGTCAGCTGCACCGATCTCTCCTTCGGCCCGCGCGCAAGGAGGAAATTTGACCGCGTCTGCTCGAGTGCGATCCTTGCTTCTCGAGTTCCTCGTAGCTGGTGCCGCCGGCGTGGCATCGTTCCGCGCCCTGTGGACACAATCTGTGAGCCTTGCAAGACGCCCTCCTTTCACGTCGCCTGCACGACGCTTGCTACGGCGGGCATGCAACCATTCTCAAAAGTGGAGACCGCGGAGAAATCTGGTCTACCCGAGGAACTCTCGGAGTTGTATCGGACTTCCCTTCTCCAGGACCGCCGGTCCGGGCGGCGCATGCTTTCTATAGACGAACTTTTAGCGCTGTGCGCCACTTGTAACCCTGTTGCCACCTGCCACAAGGGGTTCAGGAAGCAAGAAAGCAGGGAGCTACTTACAGCAGGCCAAGCAATACAAGCACAAACGCACACGTGAAGTGATTGTCAGCGCGGCTGAAATAGGGGGTAACTGAGATAACGACGGACGCGGTGTAGAAAACCGCTCTTCAGTATGTCGGAAGTCAGGGCCTACAACTCACTGGACTTGAGAGCTCAGTCAACCATTATTGTTCTCACATAGCGACAGACCATGACTACAAAGGCCATGCCAGAAAACACACCGTGCAGGCATATGGCTGAAAATGCTCCCCCTGGCCGACACTTCAGGGGACTGAAGGAGTGGATCTACGATATTAAGTTCCGGGGCACTGCACGCGTATTTGTCAAAGGGTCAGGCGTCGCGTTCGGACAGGCTCTGAAGGGGCCGCCAGTAAGCATGAGCAATATTGAATACAAAGTAGTTGTATAGTAAGTAGTCGCAAACTAACTGAAGCAGACGAGACGCACATGCATATTGACGACGTGTTCGACTCGACTAACGTCCATCCATGTCCGAATCAAGCGTACTATCGACCAGCGGTCCGAGTCTACTGGTCACAATTCTCTGTGGTTTGTTAGCCTCTAAGTCACCCACCACTCGTCCGAGACCATGTCAGGAGCTGGAAGATCAATTGACATTACTCATCCACTTGGTCATTCAAGGATCAGTCAATGGTTCGAACGCGATTATGAAGCGCCAAGTAGACATCTGTGCCGTAGTCGAGGCCATAGAAAATATCAGAGTGGATCCCAGATCAGTACTGGGCAGTCGGGCTAGTGTATCAGAACATCAGAACCGCTCTTGGACATCCGCAAGTGACAAACACTAATACGGAGGCCTAGACGGTTTGTATACACCCAAATGAAGCGACACCGCGATCCAGTTGCCCCCCGTCGCGGATAGGATCGCGCCTCCGATAGGGGCACCGGCAGCGTTGCCTATCCGAAGAGTCCATGAGACCATGCGTGATGCTACTAGCATGGATGCACGCTTAACTTACCGGGTAAGTTAAGCGTCAACAATAGCCCCGACGATCCAGCCAGCCGGTTCGAACCACACACGTTCGCTGCGACTGCCGGGCTGAGCGACAAGAAGCACCCGCGTACGAAGCAGTACATGATGCTGAATACCATCTGTAGTCAAATGCCATTCAAATGGCAAAAACAAGGAGGAAAACGCATGTGAGAGGGGAAGCTATTCTAACAAAGGAAAGCTGCTCACCATTATGGCAAATGGACATATCGCCGAGTGCAGGCCTACTTTGTCTCCCCTGTAGACAACACATACCGATGAGCAAAACGAGCGTTTGCTGTCGGAATGAGAGACAGACCAGCGGTCTGCCAGTGACAGCACTAAATAGCGTCGCGAAGGGTGCTCAACACAGAGGGGGTAGTGTCTGGAAGACATACCTCTTCAAACACTTGTCCGTGACGCCCCGAACCTGGTGGATTGTGGTCACAACGAATGAGAAGAAAATGCGTATTGGGCATGCCTGTCCGTTGCTTACAAGTCTTCCACCGCGGACAACGCATCAACAGCATTGTTGGTGGGTGGATCCGTGGGAACGAAGGGAGATTGAGGAGCGTCCATGTGTCGCGATTGCAGCAGAGAATATAACACAACCGAGCACGACAACCTACCCACGTCCGCCGTCTGGCGGGACGTCTGGCAATTCCGCCTCAACCACGGAAACGCCACCCTTCTCATCAACGGAGGGAACAACGGACCCCGCAGCGGAGAGTAGTCCTGCGTGCTTGGGCCCTTGTGGAAGTTCGGCCTCGAGGTGTGTCTCCTGGGGTGTAGGTTTATCCATCGCGGTGACAAGCAACGAAAGGCGAGCAGCGGATGCAGCAAGAAAGGAGGAGCTGAGTCGAGATGGTTAACGCGGTGCAGACAGCTGAACCGTCCCCATCTTGAGCAGCCTCAAGCCGAGGGGGTAAGGGGGCTCGAGAACAACACCGATGACAGGTTCTATGCAACGTTCGCTACATGGTATCTGTCAGTCCAACCGAGGTTGCCATATGCCTGGCTGGACGAAGTGGACCATGATGCAAATAAGAGACATCAAATGTCTGTCGGAGTTCGAAGACCAACAGGATCAAGACCTGAGAGAATGTAGTCAGCGCTCGCTATTTGAGAACAGTGGTGAGATGCTTAATGAGATTTCACGGCCGAGACTGCCTCGTACATACAAATGGACCATGACGGACGAAAGCTGAACTTGTACCACTGACAGGCCTAACATCGCACTTATGTCTTATCACGTGCGTGGATAGTAGAATTCGACCATGCCCCGCATGTCGCTCCAATGCTTAATAGTCAACTGGACGTCCCCTCATGTTGAGGTTCATTCGTTGTGAACTGCGGTCCATGAGCCGAGCGACGATCCAGCGGGTAGCGACCGATCGAGGAACATGTATTTTAGACTCACCAGCAAGCATGGCCGAGGGAAGCAATTCGGCTTGCCATTCGGTAGCTTCAAGAATAGTACCGGAGCCCGGGCACTGTACGAGCTGCTGAAGTCAGTTGAGACACATCCCTGCCGCACGGCTTCGTGGCGCCGGCGAATACGAAAACATAAGATATCAGTAAATGTATACTAGGTCACAGATGAGCTACATCTAGGCAAGAACCACGGATCTATCGCTCTTCTCAACCCTCTGTCCGCACACAAACCGAGTGTACTCACGATCAATGATCCGAGCCCCGCGACGGCACCCTCTCCCGATTCTGCCCCTCGCTATCCCTCGGGTTCCGCATCATCGGACTGTTCAGCCCTCGCTCGACTCTGCTTTCGTTCATCACCCCAGGTGTCGGCGGGAACGGATGGGCGCTTGCTTGCCCACTAGCTCCCGCTTCCGCCTGCACCATCCGCGTCAGGTCGACCTCCGGCCCGTCGTCAAGTTCATCGTCGGATGCGCCAGGGGTCCCATACCTGCTCGCAGATGCGCTCGCTGGCGTAGGTGATGTCCCGCTCTTGCGCATCCTCCGCGCGTGGAAGGAGCGACTCGCCGTGGCGTTCGAGAAGAGCGGGAGGAGGTACCGCTCGTCGAGCGCTTGGAACCACTTGCCCTCTTCGCTGGTCGCGGGCACTGCTGCACCGTCTCGTGACTTCCGTCTGCCGTTGGGCGGACTACCAGGAGGGGTAGTCGCAGTAGGCGCGAGTGGGAGGACCTCTCCGCCATCCGAGTCGTATTCTTCCGACGAGGCGGCAGAAAAGACGGAGTTACTCAAGAGGTTGTTCTGCGCTTGGTGGTTGTAGATCTGCGGTTCACTGTGGATGGTCCCAGTCCGCTGCGGGCGTACCTGCTGCCCTGCGAAGTAACTCTCTTCCTCAGCGAAGCGGGAGAAGCGCCCCGAGCGCCTGAAGTATTGGCTGCGGAGGTCCTCTTCCTCGTCGCTACTGCCCGCTTCGTCGTCTTCGACACCGGTACGGATCCCGAGGACCTCCAGCATCCGCGCAGTCGTGCCCCCGAACATGACCACGGTAAGCACGACCACGACGAGAACGGTTGTGCGCATGGATTGCGCGTTTTCGCCCTTGAAGCCTGCAGCGAGCGCAACACCGACCGCTCCGCGGAGGCCTGCCCAAAATAGCATCATCTGGTACGAATGCGGAAGTTCCTCCTGGCGTTGTCCGCGGGCATGGCGTTGAAAGAAGTTGATCATCTCCGAGAGTGGAAACACGGCGGCGTATCGCGTGAAGACGACTGCGACGGTGGTGACGATAATGAAAAGCGGCTTGAAGTAGCTCGTCACCTTTGCGGACGACGGCGGACTCGTGAAAAGCGACAGGCCGAGATAGACGAAGATGAAGTTCTCCGATAGCTGCGCGAGGGTCGAGAAGATGTACTTCGTTGCACGCTGTGTGCGCCTTGACATCGTGTGGTACGCATAATGCTTGAGCGTGATGCCACAGAATAGGAGCGAGACGATACCGGACATAGACATGCCGTTCGAAAAGAAGTAGCACGTGTACGCGGAGAGGGCCACGAGACATGTCTCGATTTGAGGATAGAGGGAAAGCGAGGAATGTTTGAGGAGGAGCGACATCGCGAGGCCGAAGACCACACCAAGGGCCATGGACGAGCCAAATGACAGTAAGAAGATGCCCACTCCATGGAAGAGGTGCGCGACCGAGAAGTCCGATCCATGAAATTGGGACAACGTCCTAAGACATGGTAAGTACACCAACCACATGAAGTATGACGACCTGTTCACTCACTCATACATGACGATACTGACTGCATCGTTCAATAGAGACTCTCCGAAGATGACAGTGTATAGCTTGGGATCGACCTTGTACTGATTGAAGATTGCCAGAATAGTGACGGGGTCTGTCGCAGACAGAGTTGAACCGAATACAAGACATTCAATGAGGCTGAGATTGAGAGATTCCAACCCTAGTTGTGACCAGATGAACACTATTACCCTGTACTGGAAGTGATGAGCACTGCCTTCGAAGTAGTCGTCAAATCGGAGACACATACCCTACGCCTATGGCGGAGACGAACGTTCCAAAGAACGCGAAGACAAGGATCGAGCCGAAGTTACGAAAGAAATTCTCCTGCTTCAGCTCGTATCCTGAATTGAGGATGATTGGGGGCAACAGGAGGTTGAAGAACAACGTATGTCTGAACGTCTGGTAGAGATACATTCAGTGATTGGCATGTCAAAATCGCTGGCCACGACAAGCTAGAGTACGGCTCAGCTTCCTGGCGTACGAACATAGGCAGCATTGGCACTTATGGCAAATGAGTTCGCGGTCCAGCAGTGCCTAAAGCGCACAGTGCCTGTGCGTCCAGCACATGATGCACCCCAAGACAGCTTCATGAACCGCACCGAGAAGCAAGGCAAGGATACAGGAGACACGGACAGGTTTGATCTCCCGTGACAGGAAACCACGGACTGTGGGAGATATGCCAGGGGGGGTACTACTCACTAGCATGTTCCGTATCTCAGTGCCTGGTGCCAGTCGTACTACCAGACCTACGAACATCCCGGAAAGAATGGCTACCAGAGTTTCATGGATGGCACGTATGCGCTTGATCTGGAGGTAGTAGGACGTGCACAGCGAGAGAATCAGGAGCCCGCAGACGAGAAAGAGAGACCAGGACGAGTAGTACTCTTCTTCCTCTGGTATGGCGGTGTCGGACGCCGCGGGTGCTGCGAACGCTGGCGTTGGCGTGTAGTGCAAAGCCATCGGAGCGACCCAGCGAATAATGCGGAATGTGGTTGGAGCAAAGAGCCCCGGAAGTCGAGGAGAACCAGAGGTAATGGGTAGGAAAAGACCTGCGATGACGCCGGCGTCAGCTGCGGTGGCGGAAGTGTGGGCAGCGGCTTCGCCTCTACTTAACGACGAGGACGATATATATCGTTATCTCCGTCTTCACTTGCGCTTCTCGCTGCAGTCTCTGTGGCAAGCTGTGAATGACATGCTGTCCTTGTAGTGTCCCTTCAGCCCAAGCTGCAATGTGGCTATGCATCCGTACATGCTCTTGGTACAGATCACTTTGTCTCTCGGCGTTATGGACCACGGCAGGCCTCAAAGACTTGGGAACGGCAGCCTTGGAATAGAGATGACGAACGCCAAATATACGTACAAGGCTCTTCTTCAGTGGTCTAGTACGCAGACACTCCCATCTGCTCTGCCGAGAGGACTGTTTAGCCGAGGCGTCACGTATGTATACGATACGTATCTCAACGTGTCGATTGACGTTGACGTGTCCCACGACATAGGTCCTAAAATACGTATACGAATCCATTACGCATTATAGCACACACTCCAGCCTATGGTAAATCCTTCCTCTAGCGCACCGATCTATCGCCAATCGTTCATTGTCTACACCACCTGTTGCAAGGCAATAACCTCCACGCGACGGCGCCCTATGAAACGATGCTAACATTGGATGCTCTGACATGCAGAGAACCATTCCTAGCCCGCTCTGTGCGCCCTCAAATCGTTCCCCACCAAATGATCCCCCTCAGCCGTTCCGTCGGCCTTTGGCTAATCATACGCATATGGCTTATTGGAGATACACTCGGCTATACGAACTCAGCGTTGGCACTGTCAAGTGCATTGCTTAATGATCGTGGTCAAGCTCAATAGCATTTAGGTGCGTCCTGAATAGCTCCTCGCCTCAACATGGCGCGCGCCTGCACGTCGGCACCAGCTTGTGTGCTGCTTTGCTGCAACTGGGGGTCAGAAAGTCTTCTCATCGACAGCTTGGGTTTGACGATATACTTCCTCTGGACAGGTGTCAGTGTTCTAACGGCGAACGTGGCATGATCTGTGGTGCGGGATAATGGCGATGTTCTCAGCATTTCAAGTTATCGTTGTTTCTCAGGGACTTCGGTGAAGCACGTACGTGCCATCGAACTTCCGAATCTCCGATGCACTATCAGAGACGATCGGAACTACGACAATCAGAGGTGTCTCTGACTAAGGCTTCGAGTCCTGTACAATCTCATGTAGAACTCGAGTCTTGAGGGCGTCTAAAAGCCAACTTCCAGCCCTTTTCTATCCATACCCAAATCTCAATCATCCCGCCGCAAAACATCCTCATTCACACACTGTCCTTTCTGCAGACAGTTCAGGAGTATCGCTTTTTCAGGACGAGCGACCTATGCATCTGCCACCACCAGCTTTCGGCCAGCCAACGGTCGCCTCGCGCAAGCTAGACGGCTTCCACATACTCACATTGGTGAAGGCTGCCATCCCCAACTTGGGCGCCAGCGTCATCCTCAGACGAGAAGCTCGATATCGGGAAGGCGCACTGGGGGGCGCACACCAATAACTACAACTTACAGACGTCCCCCGACTGAGACATGGAAGTACTTACGCTCACTGGGGGCAGAGGCGCCAACCACATCCTCGAGACCCAAGACCTCCAGTCTGCCAACGCCGTCCGCTACGGTGGGAACATCCACGTCATTGATTTAATCTCCGGGGTGAGTGCATATTGTCACCCACACAGAGGGAATCAACATCCAAGCCGGGCTCCACAGCAATACTCGCAGGAGGTCAACGTTGATTTTCCTGCTTGGGACGGGGACCATCTTGCGCACCAACCTGATCGGTCGCCGCGCCAAGTGAGTGTCATATCTTTGTGTCTAGGTGAGCACTGTGGGTAACAACTCCTCTGGCTATGCAGGTTAGGGGCCATGGCCCGCGTTCTCAACCTCCACGAAGATCAGACCGGTCATCAACAAAGTGTTCGACTCCGAAGACGCGCGGGCCGCGTATGACTACCAGGTGACCCAGCAGCACGTTGATAGGGTGTTCATTGAAGTTTCGAAGGATTGAGGGCGTAGTCGATACGCCAATGACGAGGAGGGACTGAGGAATGTGCTTGACACACGCGTAGCTCAGCTCATGAAAGACAAATTTCCAGAGATTATCCCTCCAATAATATGAGGCAAGCTATAATGTAGGTCTATCCCAATACGACTGACAGAACGCGAGATCTGATTTATAGTAGGGGTATGGTGGACGGTGCCGCAACGGCGAGTATAACCAATTATAAGTTGCATGTGTAGCGCAAAGAGGATGCACGCCCAGTGGCGCAAGGGGCAGGAACAGCCGGAGTGAACAGATACTACAGTACAGATAGGAGGTATAGGTGTCGATAGGAAATTGAGGGGTATGGGGGGCGTGGATGCACTCGGTCATTGCGGTATAAGCTACGGTGGATGGCGTGCAGTGCCAAGGGGCATGAGCCTGGGCCAAAGAACACTGAGCGGTCAACGAGGGCAAACAAGGCCGAGCGATGGGGATGGCGCATATATCAATCAGATGCGGGTGCACGATAGTACAATGAAAGCCGTGTATACGTGCAAGTGGAGATTATAATGGTGAACGACTCGCTTGTCATGAGCAGTCCATGGGGCGAGGGAACGGACCACCGAAAAGCTGAATAGCAACGCGCCTCGCTGAAGCACCAGATGGAGAGAAGGGCTATACCATTCATATATAGAAGGGCGACGAAACCTGAAGCGGATAAATACAACTATAAGCATGTTGGCAATTGCAGCAAGCACGGCAGGGACGAACCAGCACGAATCCAAGCACAATAAAACCCAAGCAATCGCAGCACATATCTAACAATTTCTTTACTTCTTCCCTTCTCTCCAACGATGACGATCACCGGATCCGCCACGCCCCATCGCCCTTCCTGCTCACCCTCCCAACACCTCCGAACCCTTCCCTCACGACAAGCCACAGGGCAGTGCTCGACACGACGTCCTTGATCTCCTCCGCCGTCAGAATCAGGCCCTCCCCTGGGATGCCCGTCCCCGCACCCGCGCCCCCGCCCGCATCTTTCGCCCCAAAGAAGCTCTTCTTAAACCCACTCGTCCCACTCCCGCCCCCGTTCGCCGTGCCCGGCCGCTCGTCTGCTTGCGTCGCAGGCCGCGCGACCCCCGCAGGCGTTACGATCCGCTTCCGCACATTCACGCGCTCAACCTCGATGTCCGGCAGCGGGAAGGGCACCTTGAGCAGCGCGACGACTTTCGGATGGTGCGGGGTCGGCACGACGCCAGCGATCTTTACCTTCACCGTGCTGGAGCCCGCCCTCGCCCCCGCCCCCGCCCCCGCCCCTGCCGCGTGCTCTGCCCCGGGCGGGGGCAATCGCGAGGCGTTCAGCCGACGCACGATGAGCGTGCACGTCCAGGGCGTCTCTGAGTCCTCGGGGTCGGTCTCGTCGTCGGCCTCTGCCTCGGCCGTTGTGGGCGGACTCCCGCGGGCGTGGCCCTCGTCCGTCGTCGCGGTCGCGCTGGCGGCGCCAGGCGAGCCTGACCGGTGGGAGTCGACGGAGCGGCGGCCGTCAATGAATGACCTGCGTTTCTGCCTCGATGTCACGGGGGCGTCAGAGAGAACGTGTGGTGGGTGGCCACTGTTGTTGTGCTGCTCGAGCGACGTCGTCGATTGCCCTGCCGAGGAGGTGACCAGGCTGAGGCGCTTGGAGCGCGAGTGCTCATCTACGGTGCCTTCCCTCCGTCCTCGGCGCTTCTTGCCGCTCTTGCCGCGCGACCACTCGAACCTGACCTCGACCAGGCTCTCAACTTGGCTGAAGTTGGGCACGCTCCCCCGGCCTTGGAACTTATCCCGCATCCCGCCGAGCAGGTCTCCGGGAGAGCCCTTCAGCCATTTCCGCACGACCCACACGTACTTGGTCGGACGTCCACGGGGAGGGAACGTAAGCGCGCTTAGGGAGGGTTGGACACCGAGGATCGGTGGCTGAAGGAAGACGTTTTCGCGCAGACCCGCTGAGACCGGTGCGTCCGAGTGTGATGGGGCTGGTGAGTGCCCCGGAACACTCAAGCCGCCACCAAGATGTAACGAGGTACGTCTGGATACACGAGCTCCCTCGCTAGCGGACGGGAGAGAAGTCGTCGCCTGTGCTGGAGAAGGTGGCTGGGCGTTGATAGGTGGATGAGGGGATAGTGGGAAGGTAGGGGAGACGGGGGAATCGGGGCGGCGCTTGAACATCTTGCTGAAAAACTTCTTAGCACCAGGTGTATTTCTGGGAGTTGATGGCGTTGGAGGGGTAGGTGTTGCGAGTGCGGGGGTCGCAGGAGCGGGGGTATGTGGGTACTCATCCGAGGTGAGTGAGAGCGCCGAGGAAGTGGGCGTGTGAGCGCCAGGGCCGACATCGATACTCCTACGCGCGGCATATTCGTCAGGAAGAGAACCAGCCGCCATATTGGGTGAGTGTCCGGGAAGGGGTGTAGGATGGCCGCCGTCTCCCCACACCTCGATGGGCTCGAGGACAGCGAGACCTATCACTTCCAGCCCTCGCTTCTGGAACTTCGCTACTTTCGCGTCAGTCCCGGCGTCGACAATAACATTGGTGAGAACGCTGTGGGCTTGGAGGTTGTATAGGGGTATGATCATACGCCGGCCAGAGGATGTCGTGGATGAAGACGCCATTGATGAGATGGAAGTCGAAGAGTAGGAAGAGTACATCGAAACGTCGGACCGGTTAGAGCTTGTTCGAGTGAGTTGGACGTCCGAGGCACCATCGTCGACGTCTGGGCCGACGGTTGAGTCTAGTGATCGCCGCCCACCAGAAGAGCGATTGACATCGCGATCGCGGTTACTTGGTGGTACGAGTTGGACTTGCAAGTTCAGAGGATGATTGATTTTCGATGGGGGTGGTCGGACAACGATGAAAGACTGGTGTGCAAGCATCATAAGTATCACAGCAACACTGAAATCACAAGCACAGATATGGATGACCCAGGACCGGATGATTCATTAAGGCCTTTCAAGTCGATGGATTTATGTATGAGCTCCTAACGCCAAGCCCAGGCAACTCCAATCCAAACCTCCACCAACACCCGTGGGTTCGTACGCCATACGCAGCACACAGGCACGCTGGCCGTCTGGTTGGCTATGCATACCGCTGCGGCGGTTGGCCCTGCGCATGTATACATGATGCCAGTACCATCAATCGAACCGCACAGGGTGATCTCGTGAAGGGCTGTGTAGGCGCACTATATGGCCAGCGATGTCACTTGTAAAGCCACGTATACTGCGGACATAAGCGAGAACATCACGATGCCTCACAGTGCAGCCAAGTATGGCAGGCCGAGTAACATCCGCAGACGTCATTTTGAAACAGCAGCGATTCTACGACATCCCACACCGGAGGATGATGTCTGTCTAATAGTCTCATAAGCTGGCGCAGGCACAGCATGTGAGCCTCGGAAACAGTTCGCATCTGCCAGAATGAGGTCGCGGCGCTAGCCTCCAAGCGTCACGCCGCAATGGCATTTCGGAACCTGTGATGTGGTTCCAAGCGCGGATGAGATCTGGCATGTACGTTGCTGCTATGACTGTACATTCAGCTGTCCTGGTAGAAGTGAGAAACGTCCAGGTTGAGCACTCGTCTGCGGAGGGAACCAGGCAACCTTTCCGAGCCGTGTCCACTGCCACAACATCGGGAAAGGCATGCTTTTTGACGCACAGACAAGGTTCAGTGGCATGGAGCTTGAGAAGTCAAGGCACGATTAGTGGGCAGTTACCCACTGAGCGCCCTGTGGCATGCGTGGATGCACGGATCGTCCTGCGCCATTGACGGACCCAAGATATCGACTATCGACCAAAGAAGGTGGTACGATTGGGGGTAGTGAAGAGAAGAGACATGCAAGTCCGTGAGGAGGATCACATTCGTTTCGGCTGATCCCACTCATTCACGGTAGCAAAGTCTCTCGGTGTCCAGCCACCGCAGACGAGAACAATACGATACCGGCGCAGCATGCTTCGCCACAGATGATAGAGATGGCCTAGGGAGAGTGGGAGCCGTAGGCAAGCTAGACAGAACTCACCTCGTTACTCCTCTCTTTCTTCTTCTTCACCCCGTGCTCGTCAACAGCCATGTCTTCTGGTTCGTCCTGTTTAATCGGGGATGCTGTAAGTTGGCCCTGAGCTTCTTGGAGAGGGGGAGACTTGTCGTTGCCAATCTGGAGGGCAGACGGCAGAAAGGAAGAAATTGAAGAAAGCATCGAAATCAGATGAGATGGAGGGAGGTAGTAAGTACTGAAACACCAGGCGCCCGATCGGAGTGGTCCATACAGCGCTCGCCGCTATGCGTCATGTCGGCGCCTTGGCCGGCCCTCGTCCGTTACTCAATTCCCTTGACACATCCGCCCTCTCCTTTCGCTCGTCCATGCTCATCCTCCTCACCTCCTACTCACAAGACAGCCCTCGCCGCCGCCTTCTCTAGAACATAGATCGCCGCGGGCATTTCTTGCACAGTCATAGGATGATTCGTTATCGGTCGGCGCATCTGCCTCCCGGTATCTCGGGTGCCCAGTTGCCAACAGATCCTTGTTACGACCATCCTCGGCGGCCACTCTCGTCCCCCTTGATCAGCCACGTCCGCTCATGTGCCCCCGATTCGAGCAGTTCCATGCCCTGATCTCTAACATCAGGGACGCTTGCCAGTCAGCGCGCAGCCTCTTCGACTACATAGTCGTCTAAGCAGCGTCAGATGCTGCGCCTACACGCAGGCGCATTCTGGCCTCCCACTGATGATGTTCTCAGGAGCGACCACGCCAGCGTTTGGCTACCAGAGGACCATCGTGTGCCGCAATGCGCTAGCCGACGTGGTATACCGGCGACCGCATGCGATCCGCTAGCCGGGCGCAGACGAATCCCCAAGGCCGACCGGATCGCAATGCAGCGGCGGCGCCGGCAGATCCCTAGAGCCTCGTCTCCCTGCTACGGAATTGCTGCCGATCGACGTTCACATTGGTCGATCGAGCGACGATCGTCGTTGCTGTTGTTACTAGTGGAATGGTTCAAACGCCGGCCACCGAGCTCCGAGAAGGGGTCTACTGTACTGTGACTCAGCGGGCCCGTTGCGCCGGTCGGCCTTGTGTTCGAATTGTCAATGTTCCACCATCTCGAAGATTGTCTCGTGCGTATGGTTCACATCAAAGGAGTACGCTGAGCGCATTAGGTACGTCGCGACATGGACCTACGGAGTAGTAGTTAACGTATGTTGACTACAACAGTACAGTAATCCTGCCTGGTGTTCACGATACAGTGATTAACGGCTCCTTGGGACACCATGGGTCCTTGGGACACTACCCAATTTGCCGCTCCCCTCCCAATGCACTGACCAGAAATAATTCATATATCTATATAATATCCTTGTACCTGTACTGCCCCTGAATTTCAGGTGATCAGACGGATTCATGAAGTCGCTACCCCGATTTTTGTAGAGGAAATCCTGAGAAAAGCAATTGTGTGACTGAATCAGGACAAGATCATGCATGCTTATGATGACTGATTCTCTTAAAATTCATTATGCATAAACATTGCACTCATATCATCCTATTTCCAGCGTTTTGAGGTGATATTTGAAGGGAGGGCCTGGATACTCGTTTCAACGGTGGGACAAGTGGTCCCTCGCTCGTTGGGACGGGCGTTTAGATGTCAATTACCCATATCGGGCCTCGGCTAATGTCGGCTAGGAGCGTTCTCATCTCTACAAGGGAATTAAGCGCTTGTCCCAAGGACCCATGGAGGCACGATAACGGAAATTTCACAACAGTTGCTTCGATCTGGTTCATACGCCCTTGGTTCATCCCCCAATCACAGGTGAACACACTCCATGTGATGCTTTATATAACTACCTACTTCGATTTGAACAGAAGGGACAGAGATCGGCATAATACAGGGACCACGATTTGACTGTCCCAAGGACCCGTTAATCACTGTATATGACAGGCTTGCATCACACCCAGCAAGACCAGTCCCGACATCTCCCGTTAGTACATCCCGCTATCTTCGGAAGGCGCGTGGACGACGGGTGCGGACTGTCACGGTGCACACGTCGGATACATACCTTTTGGCTGCCCTGGGGCAGCCCAGGGCCCCATGCTCCAGGTTGACTTGTTTCAGGGCCCCTTCTACCGGAGTCTACGGCACGAGTCAACGTCTCATGGACGAACGCCCCTCCACCAGCTCTCCATGTAACTCAAATTCAAGACCGTGATCACTCGGATCCTCGGGACACCGGAGACCGGTTATCTGAGCTGCATACCTATCTTCCAAAGCGCACAGCCACTCAGATCACACCGCAAGTACAGGAAGGCGTGCAGGCGTCGCAACGTCGTCGGACAAGTTGCAACAAGCCGATAGTCCACTCGTCGATTCCTGTCATTGCTTCCATTTGGCAATCTAGACGCGAAAAGGTGTCGAGAGACTCGCTGGAGCGCTGAGCAGGGAATCGGGCTGTCTAATTGTAGTATGTACGTACTATACTCGACACTTTGTGGTAAATTCTTGCACCGCATTTGTTTCAGTCTGAATCAATCATGTGATCCAACTTGTACAAATGTGCACTCCGCTCTGTGAGGCACGGCTGATCAGAGACATTACGACTGGGCATAATAGCCTACGCAGCCACGCACGCGCGCAGTTGCGCGCTCGCTGCTGCAGTTACAACATGAATCCCGCAGTCATGTCATCGTAGAGTCGGGTAGACGACGCTTAGCGGTTTCCTTGCGCAATGCAGGGGGCATTGTAAATGAAGTCTTCTTCAATATCCGTCCATTCCTAGATACGCGCGAAATGTTTCTACTTATACGCTTGAAGAGTGCATAGACCTAGACCTTGTCCTCCACAGACTCCTGCCTGAAGGCGCTACGACTCGCTTGACGCGAAGTTACACGACTACATGGCTGCCTACGCACAGGATTTGGCGAGCTTCGCCATCAATCGACTGCGTGCATACGTGGCTAGTACGCAGTCTGTTGCGCGCGGTCATAAACATTCTCCGGCTGACATCCCTACTTACATACTCATGTATTAAGGAAGACAACTGCGCAGTCAGATTTTCCGAAGCGCTTTATGACATTCCGAACGTCGTTTCAGTGCTGAGACACGCTTGACTTGATGTCAATGGTCCACGTACGGACACAGCCCAAAGCGCAGTGCAGCCTTCAAACCACTTGAGAGCGAATTCTGTGATGTGTGGCATATGGACTTCGGCACTGCGTTATGTCATCACACTTATGCAGCCTTCGTGGCTATTTCTGAGACTCGGAGCGGTGGCCTACGAAAATCAGCAGTTATTAGACTGACGATCCCGGTGAAGACATCGATGTAAACGTACAACCCGTGCCGCAGCCACTACGGCATCCCGAGTGTCCACCATCCGTCACGTCACAGCACGCCGCACCGCTGAAGAGCAGTTTCATAGCCTGAATATGAGTACCAACAAGCTGACCTCCACTGCGAACACCACCAGAGACAGCAGCGCAACGATCCACCCTGCAGTGACGAAAGGCCGCCCAAAGACACGCTTGCCAGTCTGGCCGACAGTCTTGATGGCGCTGCCGCACGCAGCGGGATTCTTGTACTTGTCGGCAAAGTCGTGGCGCGAGTGCCGCTGGCGGATGAACGCGATGACGAATATCATTCCTGCGGAGGCGGTGTACAGGACTCCGACTGCAGGGAACCACAGTTCGGTGCTTGGTACGCAGAAGCAGGTGGGGATGCTCACTCTTGTAGAAACGGCGGTCGAACAGTCGTAAGATTGTGAGAGCATAGCCGAGGTTGCCCATGGCGGTGCGGCTGTATGCCCCGTCAAAGGTCCTTTGGCGAGCACGCAACTCCACTGGATTGAGGGTGTCAGGTGTTAGCTCTCCTCTGAGGGCACGCACGGATACGTACCGAGCTCGTTTACATCGCTCGCATAGAACGACTTTGACCGATGGCCACTGTATCCCTGTCAGGTTGTCAACGCTCTAGATACGACCCCTGCGCACCTGTATAGCCTGCGATGACGCTGGTCGACGAGTCGTGAGCGTTCAGTAGGTGTGCCAGGAGTGTGAGTGCTCGTCATCGCAAACGACGTGTCCTCAGGGTCCCTCGGTAAATCGTGTAGTGATTGTGTCGCTATCTGTCAACGTAGAGGGAGGTAGGCTGCATGCTGGAGCAGTGGGATGTTAGCCAAGTTTCGTAATAACGAAGCGAGTGGACTCGGAAGGGGACCAGAGGCACGGAGCGTTCCCGGGCCGACCTGCACGTGGCAAGAAAGTGGCGAGACGCTGGGAACGGGTCCAGCGCAAGCATCGCAAGCGTCCAAGGAACTCTGTTCTCGTCCTCCAGCCTAGCCCTCTGCTCGTCTTGCGCTAGGTGTCTCCCCCGGAGGAAGCACGATTATGGTGTTTTGCGTTGGATATATGGGACGCCTGGGCGCGGTTGGCTTGCGGTGAGTGTGACGTCTTGCTTGGCCCGACCTTTCGTCTTACCAGCCTGTCTTGCTTGCCAGAAGTTCACGGCCGGTGCTGGGCACGTCGCAACTCCGTAGCTTGTCTACGGTTGGCCTTCAGGTACGTCTAATTTGCGCCTATCGTGTGTTGGACGCTGTGTGCGTGGTGTCCCTGTGTGGCACCTTCCTTGGCTTGAGCGGATGCATCTTCCAGAGTTACGATGCAATTGCTGCGCAGACGGAGAGACTTTCGCCCGATCACCCTCTATGTTCGATGGAGCCCGAAGATTGACGAGAGCACTGAACGCGAGAGCTCTGGACTGCGGCTTGGAACGTCTCTATGTGACGAAATCCACCAAATATACGACGCGTCTGATTTTCCTGCATCTGTATCCTGTTGGCTATAACAAAGTATACTCAATGCCTCTCACAGCGCTCAAAATTTACCGTACCTCACAGCGAGCTGCGCAACTTTCAGTTCCGGTCAGGTCCCCGGTCGTTCTGGAGTTGGTCAAAGCCTACTCCTGCGCCTGCTTCTCCCGCTGCTGCTCCCTCTCCAGCACCAGCCGCGGCACAGCAGCCTGCTCCCGAAGAGACATCTGTGACCACTCCAGATGCGGCAGTCCCTTCGGAGGCATCGACAGCCCTAGACGCAGCATCCGCCGTACCCGCACCAGACGCTTCGCTCCCTCCCATACCGGCTTCCTCAGAAGCAGCTTACTCTATAGACTGGGCTGCATCAATACCTCCGCTCAATTATGGTGATCTCGCTGCGCTTGGCCTCGCAGGTTGGACGCCTGCAGGTATCTGCCGTTGGACGATGGAGCTTATCAACGTCTCGACCGGCCTGCCGTGGTTCTGGACCATTGTCGCGACGACCGTCCTCTCCCGCGTCGTCCTCTTTCCATTCTCCGTGAAGCAGATGCAAGGCACCGCGGCCCTCGCCCCGCATCAAGCTGAGATCTTGGCCATTCGCGACGAGATGGCCGCTGCGCAAAAGAAGAAAGACATGCTCTCGATGCAGCGTGCGGCCCTCAGGCAGAGGATGATCTACGAAAAGGCTGGCGTAAGCGTCGTTGGGATGATGATCGCGCCGTTCGTGCAGCTGCCGGTGACGCTGGGCATGTTCTTCGGCGTGAAGACACTATGCGACCTGCCTCTGGAACAGCTGAAGTGGAGCGGGTTCGAGTGGCTCCCGGATTTGACAGCCGTAGACCCTACGTGGACGTTGCCCATTCTTGCGACTCTACTCATGAATGTCCAGCTTTCGGTGCGTTGGAAGCTACTTTCCATGGCCTTGACTGCTTCGTGCTTACATGGCTTACTTGTAGGTGACGATGCGTGACCTTGTTGGCTCAACACCGCAGATGGGCCATATCATGAACCTCCTCCGCCTGCTGACGACTGGTTCCGTCTTCCTTCTCGCGAACCTCTCCAACGGCGTAATCGTCTACCTCATTACGAGTATTACCACCATGACCGCTCAGTCGCTCCTCCTCCGCCATCCCGCCATCCGCCGCGCGCTCCGCATCCCGCTCGTCCCGGAGAAGCTGCGCACCCCGCCGCCGACAATGCGCGAGTCCGCGCAGTACGCGCGCCAGTGGTGGAGCGACAAGATGGCAGAGGCTCGGGCGGCCGAACGGGCTGCCAAGAGGCGGTGATTATAGTGAGACGGTGAAGACGGGGATTTGCAGAAGGGATTTATTGCGGAAAGTATCATATGCTCGTATGTAATGTTGGTAGATTACCTTATTGCGGACAGACCACCCCTCATAGTATCAATTGTCGATGGCTGCCTTGAAACACCTCAACCGAGTTGCGAAAGACCTGGACGCCATGACCACAATTGTGGTCTTGGGCCGCCAAGGGGGCGAGTACTCTTCAGTCATCATATGACTTACCTCGCTGCCTGCGTAATGAGTTCTCTTTCGACTCGACTTTGATACTCACGTTGACAACGTCAACTCATCCAGTGATCGCATGAAAACGACAAGGTGCTTCCGTTCCGTATGCGTCAATGTTGACGTTCAGTCTATCCAACGCATGGACTCGGATTCTCGGAACGCTCATGCTGTGAGAAGGCATTCCGGTATACCATGCGCATCAAGCAGACCATGACACGATGACGAAGGTGCTGCCCAAGAAGTCATATCCGTCCAATGCCAGGTAAGAGGAGCCCCGCATACGCACCACTGGCACACTCATGGATACGACACGAATTACGGACGCCCACGGGATGTTCTCAAGGTGCGCTATCTTCTCGTCGATCATGCACCGATGATCTCCGTGCCCCCAAGTGCGATCGGCCTGACGCTTTTCACGGTACACGGTCGTACATAGTGCAGAATTTGCCGTGGCCTTCGGAATTACTCCCTATCGCCCCAAGAGACAATGGGAAAATTGCTTAGTATCGTGGTGCAAGGTAGACAAACGTCGTATGGAAATCGACACCGAGGTATGCTGACTGGTTTGCTCGAATTCCACGTGGCTTCATCACAGTGGCAAACCGGTCTACGCAGCTAGGGCCACACATTGCGCAGGTGACATCCAAAGAGCGACAGTGGTATATCGAAAGCCGGTACAGCGATAACGACAACAGAGCAAAGAAGCGAAGCAAGGAGAGAAATCGCACAGAACTACAGGCTAACGATCAATAACGTCTCAAGGTACAGCAGCGGCGTGCACATGGACCAGACGGATGCCACCATTGACCGCAACCTAATTCTACCTGATGCGACCCCAAGCTCTTTCAATAGAGCGCATGATAAATTACGAGCGAGGCAAGGCTGGACATTCCAAGGAACTTCTATGAGGTAGCCTCAGGCGGTCGAGGGCGAGAGGACCGTCGAGCTCACTGCAGTGGAAGAGCCCACGGCGGAGCTTACGACGGTCGAGGGGGCCACGGAGGAACTGGCGACAGTGAACGAGATTGCAGTAGAGCTAACCACCGTAGAGGGTTCCACAGTGAAACTCACAACGGTGGAGAGGTCCGCACTGGAAGAGGCAGCGGAGGATGTAACCGCGCTCGAGGTCAGGACGGTGGAGACCACGCTCGAGGTCAAGACCGACGTGGAGGTGTCGGAGACGACCGAGGTGCTCGGGTTTGTGGGGATCGAAACCGAAATGAAAGTGGGAATCGATGAGGGAGCACCGGCAGGGAAGCCCGAGGGAACCGATGTACCGTTGGGGTGGTGGCCATGGCCGTGGGGCCTGCTTCCAGGGAAGCTACTGGGGGCACCCGAGGGGACGGAGAAGCCACTGGGAGCACCTGAGGGAATGGGGAAGCCACCTGAAGGAAGACCCGATGGTAAAGGGAGACCGCCCGAAGGGAGACCGGACGGGAAGGGCAGGCTACCAGAACGGACGCCTGATGGTGCGCCAGAGGGCAGGCCGCTGGGGACACCGGACGGGAAGCCGGAGGGTGCACCTGAAGGGAAGCCGGAGGGAGTACCGGAGGCAGAGCCAGAAGGCGCAGCGGACGGGAAACCGGACGGGAAGCCAGAAGGTGCAGCGGACGGGAGGCTAGACGGAATGGCGGGCACCGAGGCGGAGGATGGCAGAGCTACGGAGGTAGAGGGGTCCACGGGAACAGCAGCACCTGTACAAGGCAAAAGCGAGTAAGAAAACAGCGTTCATCCTGACATGCTAGTCGTATAAACCCACCGTAGCCGACGAGGAGTGCGGCAAGAACGAAGTTGATCATGTGCAACATTTCGGTGTTACCGTGGTAGGGTTTACAACAAGGGAGTGTCGAGAAAGTGTGTGCAGGAAGGTGGGAAGGCGGGAACAGAGGGACTGAGTCGTTGATGAGTGAATGCAAGTCGCAAGCCTTTTATAGCGGTCCTCAAGCGCAAACCGCTTTTTCGAGGGTGCGACCGCGCATCGGGGTGCAACGACGCGCCTACTTGCCATCTGCGCCTGCGCAGCACGTTGGCCGCCACGATGATCGTCCGGATGTGCTCTTTGCTGAGACAGCATCAACCATATTTCCTCACCTGTCTGGCAGTTGCCTGTCCATTACCGCAGACGGGTCCCGCACGCCTTCAGCCTATCATTGAGATGTCCATGAGGCAAGGGCATCATGTAGAGTATCTGGGCGCGGGAGCTGTTATTGCACTGTGCGGGCACATGGTGAAATCTTCATCTGCACTTCGGTTCGTCCGCTGAACTGCCCGTAAGTACCCACTTCTTGATGTAAGTGGGGCCAACATCGGCTACTTGAAATTTGGAGTGGGCCCACGTTAAATATAGATCGCTTAGTAGAATCTTCCGACAACGCTTACCATTTCGTTTTCAGTGACAGTGAGCCTTTTGGATGACGTGGTAGTTGCTATGGAGCTGATGTTCATACGGAGGCATGTACGTAGTCGCTACTGTAGGAGTGCTTCAAGCTGGGGCGTCTACCAGAGTTAGAAACCTCCGGTAAGACCTCACGGTGATTGCCGACATGCAAAACACAATTGTTGGCTGGCAAGCGCCTGATTCTGTCCCTCGTACATAGTCTCGTGACCAGACGTTCGGAGCTCCAAGCGGGAACGAAAAACCGGGAGTTCCCGAGCACCTTAACGTCTGGTGGCTTTACCCCCTTGACTCCCCCATCGGTGACAGACGTGACGTCTCCCACCGTCACTCAGCTTCCCGTCCGTGCGATTGAACCCCGAGGCACCCCAGCGGTTGAGGAGCCCTCTTCGATGACGATGACGACAACTATGCACTATCTGAGCGCAACAGTGACATGATCCTGGACATCTCTGAATAGGACCTGGTCGAAGCTGCACTTGAGGATCCTGCCCCACCCAACCACCGCTACAATACCCGAGCGATGCGCGAGCGCCTAACCTCACCCAGCAGCGCTTCCGCGACGTCCACCTGCCACTTGTATGGTGCCATGCCTCCTGTGCCTTCACGGGATGTATCTACGCGCACTTCGCAGGTCGCATTGAAGTCGTATCGCGGTGTGTGGTATGGCTTGCATACGAGGCATGGTCTTCTCCATGGAGAGCTGGCAGTTGGGGAGTTGCCATAGCCGTGTGGGGTATATCACATGTATATGAACTAGGTCATTATGACTAACACAGGGGGTGTTGCACAAGTACAACAACTACAGTGGGCCACTGCATCGCGCACCAAGCTCCGACTCTTTCAGACTGCCTTGACCAGGGGCGTCGGGATGTGACGCATGTCACCGATGGGGGAGTCACGGGGGTAAAGCCACCAGACGTTCGTGAGCCCGGATACCCCCGGTTTTTCGTATCCGCTTCAGGCTCCGAACGTCTGGTCACGAGACTACCTCGTACATAGATATCAGGAATTCACGGCTTGCACGTCTCCTATTTGTCTAAACATGCCAACGTAATCTGTCATATTGATCTCTCCGCCGCAGTCGAAGAACTGTACACCTCATTCTACCTCACCTGGTCTTTGAATTGCGAATATCTCATACGTTGTCTTTTCTTCCGATCGCGGACATCGTGCGACACTTCCGCTACGCCGCAGCCCCAAAGGCGATGGGATGATGCTGGATGCGTACCGCCGTTGTCCACAGCAAGATGCTGCTTATTCACAGACCACAGGGTCGCACGTCTGACTACGATTTTATCAATGGGGCTTACATGTTACATTGACAGTCAAGTCAACCAAAAGCGTTCGCGTTCCATTGGCGCAGCCACATTGAGGCCAGGGATCATATGGTGAGAAGCTATATCATTATCGTGTCAATCAGAACGAACTGCTTTCGCATCACGTACCCACTACATATCCTTCTTGTGCATGTGAATCTCAACAGATAGTCCGCGCAGTTACGAATGCGCCATACGTCCCCCTGAGATGCGCCATGCCCGGAAGCCAGCTCATTCACATGTCGTGATGGGGCTCAAAGGGATGATCTCCAATCGCGCCAGCAGACGACACGATGCCGCCTTGAGAGTCTGACTTCAAGTTGTGGCACAACTGGCCGTTAGCTTGTGTCCTAATAGCGGAGAAATGAACACGAGGCTCCCGTCGCTGAACCGGGCTTGGAGTCGGTGGAGATGTACCCACTACAACCGACGTGGTCGCCCTTGTGGTGGTGACGGTGCTTGATGTCGTCGACGACGGACATGCCAGTAATGTCGGTGGGAGCAGTGCCTATTTGAATAGCACATGGGTAGCGGACACTGGACAGCCAAGCATGTGTTCACAGGTAAGCTCACTGCTGCTCACGAGGGCGGTGAGGACAATGTTAGCAACGTACGCAACCTGCGTGTCTGGGCTATGTAGACGAGAGACTGTCTGAGAACGATGATGTGTATACAAAGGATCCTCTCAGGAGCTACCAGGGATACCAGCAACGCTTTCACATTTGAGAACCGTGCCAGACTACCTTTCAGAGGGATTTGGCCGAGACTTGCCAGAGGACTATGAGACGGAAAGATGGGATGCTTCAATAGACCTGCGCAGTAGGGCCGTGAATAGCGTGATCGTCAGCACGCCCTGTTGGTGATCCTCGATAGATCGAAAGGTGCCAGCAGTGGTCCTAGCTGGTTCTCACTCACACTGACGAATGTTTTGTACTCATTGGAGAGAGCGTAGCCCGAATCTAGCTCGCTGGGGTCCTCAACGATACAGCATTGGCTACCCTTCCGCTGCTTCGTCGAGCTGTCGTAGTACACATTTCTGGTGATAATATCGGCGAAGAGACCCTGCCAGTGAATTTGGTTCCTATGGTTTATGAGCATGTATCTGAAGTAAATTGGATAGGCATGTAGTGACAGGCTGCAGGCTGTTGTGGTGGGAAGGAGTTGATTTTCACTGTAAATCAACCTTGGTAATTGCGAAAGCTGCAGTGGCGGTGACGTGTAGTTCATCGGTATTTGCCGATCAACGCCACAAAGGTGCCCTCGTCTTGCACTCACCGCGTTTTACGACCTTCTGGTTAAAGCGCGGGTATGTGAGCGAGTACCAGCGAATACCAACTAGTTGAAGGGTGTGAATGGCAGACCTGATCGAACGCCTTGGTACATGTAAATAGACATAAATAGCTGAGATACCAAGAGGTAGTCCACGTTTCGACTCCGCCATATGCTCACGTCATCAAGAAACTGTGAATCACCTCGATGAAATGGTGTATTATGGTCTATCTGAACCTCAAACCGAATTGCAGGTTGCAAACTGTGAGTGTCTTAGTCCTCGCCTACAGTTAGCACCCTAACTTCCTAGTAATATCCAAGCGAGTTCAACCAGAAGGTCTCAAATATCAAGCCGGCGGCGCTTGACTTTCCTGATTTCGCGTCTTGACTCCCTTCCATCACCTTCTCTAGAGACGGCCTCCAACCCATGCATAGATGCCCAGGCACACCTCGCTAAGTAAAGTAATCCTCTCTATGTCATAATGATTTAGGCTTGAAATCCAATCAAACGTCGCTTTTTAGGGGTTTCCCTGAGTCACAGGCGGAGGGGATGGCCGATGGTGCAGATCTCGTGGGGAATCTGCAATAGGTATGCTTATCTTGTAACCTCAAGGAGTATACTCATGTACATGCCGCTGGATTACATCTACCACAGCTGTGCGGTCATAGCCTCTGGTGAGTACTTGGAGTAATGATATGTGACTATATGCTACCTTTTGCGCACCTGCTTACCGTGTTCTCCCTATTTCAGGTTCTACTCCTTCCTTTGGCCCTTCGCCAACAACGCGCGCCATAGAAAATGGCTGCCCTTGTGGCGGAGGCATGCCCGCCTAGATCGCGGGTGGGGTCCCATGGTGAGCGCTAGTACCTGCTGTGCTGCCCTCGCTAATACTACTCCCCAACAGTCTCTGCTTCATATATACACGTAAGTGGTCCTAGACTTTTTGAGTATCCGGATCGCTGATATTTCCGGGCCAGACGTCCATTGTTGAAGCAGGCGGGAGCAGTACTAGTGGGCAGGCGTAATACCAGCACGGGCGGCTAGGGCGCGCCGCGATGCCAAACTTCATGGTTATTTCTACGAGACTTGCTTGGTAGCTTGCATGTGTATTAGATAGAGCTATTTGAAATATACCAAGCTCTTTGCATATTTGACTCCCTTGTGTGTTGATTCCTCAAACGGCGGAGATATATGACCCCCTCGAGTAGTCCATCTATTCGAACCTCAAACCGCACGTGGATGACCCCTTGAATAATCCATCGATTCGGACCGTAAATCGGCCACCTGCTAACATCGCGATTGCATGCTCTGGTCCAATGCAATATTGTGTTCGATCAACCATCTATTCACACATATCCACAGTTGGCACAACTTCGAATGGCCTACTGATTAGTACTCCGACCAGACTCCGATGACACACCTGTTCACAGGCACTCGCCCCTCAACCAGGAGGTCCTTGAACGCGGTGACTCCTCCTGCACCCTCCACCCAGGCCTCCGTCTGATTGAAGGCTTCAATAAGTTCTCGCGGGTGCGTGCTCTGCACGCACGTCGTCGCTCCCATTGCGAATACAAACTTTTGCCTCTTCGGAGTGACACGAGAAGCTCAAGCAACAGTTCTTGACGCCGCATTGCATCATCCGCCACCGAATCGCCTCAATCTATACCCTGTTTCCTACTGAGCTGGACGCCGCTTACTCAGTGTTGGCGAAGGTCACGCCTCCGGAGACAGTACGTTAACCATACGCGGTACGCATCCTAGTTTCGCATGCCCGCATACGTGGTAGCTTCATGAATTGAGCTGAGAGCTTAAGGTTCCAACTTCCTGGCTTCGTGGCTTGGAAGTTCAAATTACAGGGATCGGATGACCAGTCCTGCGAACCACATTTGCATCCGCAGTGAGTGCCCACCCCTTGACCGTGCTTCTGCTCGTTGAAAAAAGTTCATACACACGTTCGCGATTGCGGCATTCGTAACGTCGTGATTGTGCCTTGGAAGTTTAGTCGTTGGCCGTGAGTAGGCCAGGTCCAGTCTGATATCAGAGGATATCTGACAGCCCTTCGGCACCGGTTGCTGCGAAGTAATTCAGCTGTCAGTACGTTCGGGACTGAGAAGCAAATGTTGCGACCGCATGCGAAGGGAGCAGCGCTGGCGATTGAACTCTGAGAGCACGATGGTGGAGATGTGGTCGCGCATTGCAGGGCAAGGATGAACGTGCTGCTGCCCTATTCAGCCAGGAGTCACAGGGCATCCGTTACGAACGTTCGCAATATAGGAGAATGAGCTAGGCCTGAAGCTCAAGAGCAAGGCGGACTAGGAGCCCCGATGAAAGGGAGACTTGCACCATGAAAGAAGGTCACGTCATGCCGCTGCGGCGGTGCGAATCCTTACCAAGAGTGTGGGTTGCAGTTTGTTCGGCAACGAGCATCGCGGTGCTGACGGCCCTAGACGATCAGTAGCGGCGTCAGCCAATGAAACGACTCTATTGGGGACTGGCGCGGCGCCCCGTAGTGCTATTGATACTGAAGCACAGTGACCCGTAAGGCTTCATTACGTGGAACGTCGCGGGGCCGAAGGTGCGACTGATTTGAATGGGACAGCGTGGTAGGTATACAGTGCAGCATCGCAGTGGGAACACTAGGTCTCGTGGGTGTAGAGTATGCGCCCTACAGTACGTCAGGTGGGGTAAATGTAATACAAGAGACAGCCGCACAACAATCATCGAAAGCGTGATGCCGGAGGCCAAGACGTGAGTTCTGACGAAATTATGTAAGACAATTACGAACAGCGGAGGAGAGGGTAAAGTCAGTTTACGGGGAGACGTGAAGCTACGTTTGTTGCACTCACCTGGATCAGAAAGGGTACCCGCCGCTATTCCTTGAGTAGCCGCTGAAACCTCCGCTGCTGAAACCCCCTCCAGGGAACCCGCCTCCCCCTCCAAAGCCTCCGCCGCCGAACGATGAGAATTGTGACCGGCCGCCGAAACCCGCTCCGTGGAACTGAGCGAAGATGTCGGAAAGATCGACGCCTGGACCCATGCCGCCCATGCCGTCCTCGTCATCCTCACCCATGTCATACCGCTGACGCTTTTGCGGATCTGATAGGACGGTGTTGGCTTCGACGATGAGCTTGAACTTCTCCTCGTCTCCACCCTAGACGCTCTCTGAGGTCAGACAGCCATAACGGGAACGGAGCTCAAGGAACGCACCTTGTCCGGATGATGTTTCAAACTCTCGCGGCGGTACGCCTTCCGGATGTCTGCATCCGAGCAATCGCGCTCGACACCGAGGATCTTGTAGTAGTCCTTTGACTTGCTCCGCTTGAGAGCGACCTCGGCTTTCTTCAACTCGGCGCGCAGCGCGCGCACGTCCGCGTCGCAGTTCTCGAATCCCGCCTGCTCGATGGCAGACTTGAAGTCCGCAATCGCCCCGTCGTACCTTTCGAGGTGCAGATTTATGCGCGCACGCGTCCGGAGGGCCTTGAAAGACGTGGAGTTGAGCTCAAGGGAGGCCTCGGTGTCTGCTAATGCGTCTTCGTATCGTTCAAGCTTGACGAGGGTCGTCGCGCGGTTTGAGAGGAGTATGGCACGGATCTGTCCTCCGCCGCCTTCTCGTGCATCCGAGCCGATGCGGTCGAGAGCCTCGCCGTATTTCTGCGCTGCCTCCTCGAGCTTGCCACTTTTGAAGGCAACGTTGCCTTCCTCCTTCAAGCGCTCGACGTCTTTGATCCGTCTGCGAAGCTTCATGGCCGCTTCGTGCCCGGGATCTAACCGCAATGCGGACTGGACGTGCTGTGTCGCCTGCGCACTCTTGGAAGTCAAGAACAGTAGAAGACCGCGGACGGTCATAACATCCGGCGAGTTGGCGTCGAAACGCATAGCGTCGCTGAAGACGGTACGTAAGTGACGCGTCCCCGTTCAAGCGCCTGAATGGTTGCAGGGCCACTCACTTTGCTGCCATACTTGCCGCATCCCAATTCTTCTTCGCAATTTCAATCTCAACCCTCCATAGACGCCACTGTATGGGAACATCTCCACCCTCACCCTCGATTACCTGTATGCACTTGTCCAACGCGAGCCTGGCCATACCCCATTCCTGCCGGCTGCGCGCACCTTCGAGATTCCGGAGATGAGCCTCAAGCTCTAGCACCCTGGTTTGTAGCTGCAGCGCTGCAGCATTCTTCGGGTCAATGGCGAGGACGGAGCGGAGAGTTGAGAGTGCGGGGGCGGTGGAGCCTGTAGATAACTGGCAACGGGCGAGACGAACGAGCGTTTTTGGTTGCGGGTCGGCAGACTGGAGGTTGGCGGCTTGTTGGCAGTCGGATAGAGCAGGCTTGAATCGCTTCAAAGCCATGTACGCCGCTGCGCGATTCGTCCAGAATGTTGGTTCTGATGGACGGATATCTACATGCGGGTGGCGACCATGAGCATGACTTGCGTTGAGCCATAGCTCTCCTCTCTCCCCCTCCTCAGACTGCGGACAGAACAGGAACGTACCAATAGCCCTGCTATAGTGTTCAATAGCCTCCTGGTACTTGCCCGCCTTGAAGGCGGCGTTCCCTTTCTCCTTCACCTCATCGGGACTCTCCTCTACCGGCACCGGCTCTGCATCGGGCGTTGCCTCGTCCCCACTGTCGTGGACCTCGATGGGTTCCTGCTCGACATCCATCTTCTCATGCCTGCGTCCCTTTTTCAGCACGCACAACTGGGTGCCACGCGCTACACGAGCGATTCAATCATCAGAGATCGACACATACTGCTCGGCAGATCCGTTAGCCTCGTTTTCAGTGGCAGCCTTCGCAGCCTGTTGCTTCTTCTTGGCCTGCTTGTTCTTCTTGTTCGTCATAGTGGTCGTACCTCGTCCAGGAAGCTGAGGAGAAAGATGCTGCAAGAACAAGGCTCGGTCGCCTGTTCCGAGGATGCCGCTTCCAATCTATGGGCGTCTCAGTCAAATCTCAGCCTCGCAAGCGCCGGTATCAGCCAACTGGAAACTTCGAGGTTATTCGAATTGTTAACAATTCGTCTATGCTTCCTTTGAGTCATGTTGAATCCCACTTGCAGAGACCACAAGCAGTGTTAATCGAGCGTTACAATGCCGGGCCGTTTCGCATTCCAGAACCGCTTCTCGTGAGAGTAAGGTTCAGGTTCAACCATAATGCAAGAGGTGGAGGCCTCATCGACATACGACAAAGAACACCTATGGTGCAGTTCAATTAGTCACCACCAGTTTTGTACGCCGTTAAGCGCGCGCTTAAATGTCACGTGACTTGGCCTTAGGGTCGACTCAGCGGTTCTTGCTCAGCGCGTCGGGTGGGGTCGGTGACGCTTGGCCCGCCACCAGCGTTGTTACGGGTCAAGTCAACGGTCATGACTTTTAGACGACGGATGACCGGTCACTGTGTGACCCGGTCATGACCGCCGGTCAAAAGTTAGCACGTGAGATCTCCGGCATGTCCGAGTGTGCGTCTGACGGCAGGCCATGGCTCTCGGATAGGCCAAACGCATCGTGGCCACGAGGAGGTACAATAAGGGCTGATGAGACTATTGCATACTCATCCCTGTCCTTGAATTTAAATGACCTACTACCCCATAATACGCCATATCTGAGCTGCGAACCGACAAAGAGCTTGCCCACGGATAGATCAAAAATCAACTCATAGGGAACGGAACTCGACTTGGATATGAAGGCCGACGAGAGAACTAGCTGTATATGACAAACGAGCTGCAGTTTCTAGCCAGCAAGAGGAGTCTGAGTCGGAGGAACAGTTGCCCAGCGGCCTACTGTTGGTTGCCACCGTGACAGCTGATCGTTCAGTACTTCGTTAGTCATGGCAACTGAGATGTTGTTGAGGGTCTGAATACAGCATTAGCCACGCTCGATTTACATTATCACTGGTGCTTGCTCCAAACGGAAGGTTCTGTAGGCAGGCGAACGACACTGGTCTGGAGGGACATCCGGTCAAGTTGACCAGGGTTGCATGCGGGAAACCAGGTTCGTCATCGGTGCTCCCAGGCGGCGCCGTCTTGCTAGTGCATGGAGGTAGTCAGGGGGGTGAGGGAATAGCGAGTGCGGGAGGAAGCTGCACGCTCACAATATTATTTGTCCGGTAGAAGAGTCGAAAAATGCTTCAGTCCGAATAGTTTCTACCGCTGACGGAGTTGAAGTATTTGATACTTCCAACCTCTGTTGTCTCCAGCTCACATTATCTGACACCTTCCGCTCACTCTCCCCTCGAAAAATGCTCCTTCAATTCTATACAATTTCTACCTAGGCATACACAATTAGTCGGGCCATCCATAGCTGCTGGTCCCAATCAACGTGATTAGTGCGACCCCACAAGCGCTCGGTCGCCTAGATCACGCGTTGACCTTTGACCAACCGTCATGACCAGTCAAGCTAGTCAAAATCGGTCATGGCTTCGGTCATGACCGC